AAAAAATACAGAAACTCAAGAAGAAGAGTTTACACAAACCCAAGAAGAGCACTATGTACAACATCTCGTTAAAGAATGTTAAATGTTGCAAATAAAAAAGATATTTTACATTCAAAAGGAAATTAAAATAAATTTTACAGATTCCTGATCCATTTATAAATTATTAGACTAACACGAATTATAAAATAAAATTATTATTGCCATCATGCGTTAAACAATTTATGAAGTTATCACTTCTGTAGAGCGTCCCGTGACGCTCACCATTTTTTTTTCGAGTTTTGGACACTTACATGTCGTACTTTTGGAATTCATCTGTGTTGAAATTCTGAGCAGTTGACCAGTTATGGATCTAATATTTTTCGCAAAATTTCACATTTACGCCCGTTTATGAATTTCTCAATAAATCAGTCCCAAATTGAAGATAGAAAAGAGATATTGGACATCGTATCACGCACATATCCAGCCATCTGAAGCCTTGTTCGATTTTCAACAATAAAATTAGTGATGTGCAAAAATGAAGCTTAATCCTTGAAATGCGACTGAAACTAACATTTAAAAAAGTCTTTATCGCATTCTCCGTCAAAAAGTGCTCAGTACAGTGTTCTTTATAAATCGATTGAGCAAACTCATTATGGAATTTTTCGCATCGAATCTTTGGGTCTTTCTCAACTTTTAATCACTACTGATTACGATTTCTTTGATTCTTTTCATTTCTTAGCTCGTATCAAAAACATTTAATCAACCTTAATAATCAAATACCAATTAATTGACTTCGTGTGCTAAGGGATCAGCAAATGATATTTAAATAAAACAGCTGAATATGCCGAAATCGTGCACAAACCGGTATGGTTTACAACAATGAAAATTCGATTGAGTAATATCGAAAGTGACAATGACCCAAAAATAATAGCGGCTTGTTTTGGTGGGTTCCATCAAATATTCATACCCCATTCGCGTATTTGGACTAGTATTTCATGGCAGCACCAATCGAGGCCTGTTTCCGAATTGGCGTATTTTGAGGAGGATTGAGGGATTAAGAGGTGCTCTAATGAAACCTTGTGATTGCAATGGGCAAAGTGGGCCTTCACATAAAAAGCCGAGAACCAGTTGAGTTGAGAAATGGTTCTAGTTTTCACGCAAAATGTAAGAATTCGAAATTATTGCGGGGCTTGAAAACCGCTATTGGTCTTTGGCTCAGTATGCAAAAGCTTTAGAAGAAAAACTAAAATGCCTTTCTAGGATATACACACTTACTCTGAGCTGATTTTTTCAACGTCTTAGCGAAGGAAATTTTTCTGCGTGGACAATTTTTTGACGTTTTTTGACAATTCTTTGGTTGATATTTGGCATTTTTGTCATTCGTTGATTTAAAAATTCTCATCAGAAACCTTTGACGGTTTTGATGATGCGAAAGTTTCACTGCTCTTCATCCTTCATCAGTTTTTTTATGGAAACCAAGTATTTTCGACCGCAACTTTTGTTCCAAAGCAACCAGCTTCACCTGCATAATATGCATTAATAATTTAAATACTAATTTTCTAGCTAATCAAAATGTTTTAGAATGCATTTCCTTTATCTATTCTTTACTTTTGCGCCTTTCGAACTCAATCTAAAAATTTCGATATTTCACAAAATGTTTCCAACTGATCGTGCCCTCTTGTCGCGCCTTTTATACCACAGATTTTTTCAAGCTCGATTTCAAGTATTCATTGTGCTGCGGAAACATCGAACATTTGCGAACAGATGGTGCTGCCCGTCTTGATAACACGAATTTAATACTTTGAACGAAGTTCCATCGAAAATGCTTCTAATTTAAATGGTGATCTTTCTTTTTTAAGAATTAAAGAGCTAACTTGGAAAAAGCGCGAATTTAAACATTAGGAAGTCCAATTTCGATAGAACCAAAGTGCCCAGCCAAGCAAAGTGTTAGAGGCGACATTGTCCGGTTATTATGGATATTGACCCCTAAAAATTTACCGTTCCGTCCATTATCGCAAACGCTCGATTATTCTATATAGCGTCATCTTCCCTATTCTATCTGATAGAGAAAATTCCTTAAAATTGTCATGTGTATATCTATTTGTAAACTTCATCAAATCAACATGAGATTGACATAAAATGAGAAAAACAATGTAAAGAAATAGAGCAAGCCCTAACAAGGTTGGAAAGTAAATAAGAAACGCTGCGGGAGACGGTTGTGGAAACGGTAGCAAAGTGAGTTTTGTACTATTTAGTTTCACTAATCTTATGCCTGGCTTAATCCAATGCCAATCAAAAATGCCGCTGCTGACGTGCGTTCCGGGGGTCAAAAGCAGGTATTTTTCAGTTGAGATGCGGAATATAATCCAAGAGATCAAGAAAGTGTGCGGGAGGTCTGGTAACAATTAAGGTGAAACCAGCTTTGGACAACACAGCGTCAATGAAAACATCCCCAAACCATCGTGCTTTCTCCAAAGGGAAATTATCAACACATCCGATTTTACCAGGAAAATAGTTGCCTATCAAGAAACCTCTGCTGAGCAGCTTAACATCGCCTCAAAGTGGCGTTTTAGAAAACAAAGCCCAACTTCTGGGAATTATTATTATTTAAGTGATTGATAGTGCTGGCTAAACCGATTTAGGTGCACTTTTAACATACAAATAGTGTTAACGACCGCAAGCACTAACTTCTAACTCTTTCAGGTAGAACCTGCTTATATATTTCACACTTTAGCTTACAGCCAATTTGAGCTGTTATGGGAATTTGGGATTACTAATGGGTTTTCAGAATTGTCTGCACTTAGTTGTACCCGAGAATTCTAGTAGGTTCGAAATTCTCGATTAATTTTTCATCATTCAATTGCGTCTGAAAAGCTGTTTCTATTGTACGCACTTCTTATAAAATCGCAAATTTTCTTCCAACGGAAATAAAACGCCGGATTTTCGAATGTTCACGGCAGATTTATTTCATTATTAAATTACGTCTGAAGAGCTGTTTCTATTGTACGCACTTCTTATAAAATCGCAAATTTTCTTCCAACGGAAGTAAAACGCCGGATTTTCGAAAGTTCACGGCAGATTTGTTAGTTGTAATTTTTTAAAAATGTTAGTAGTTTTGAAATTTTTCTTGAATGTCGAACATTCAAATAGTTCAGATGCACTGGTTTATTAGTACGCGGTTTTCTTTATAAAATCGTA